ACGGAAAGTACCATCGAAAGTTGATAGGGCAGACATTCGAAAGAGACGTCGCCGCCGCGGGGGGCCAGCGATCGGCTCGAGGTTATCCAGAGTCACCAAAGGGGTCCGGGGGCACCCCCGGAGGGGCTCCCCGCATGGGTTTTGGATCTGATAAATGCACGCATCCCCCGGAGGGTCAGCGCTCGTTTGCATGTATTAGCTCTAGAATTGCCACAGTTATCCAAGTAACGTGAGAGCGATCAAAGGGACCATAACTGATTTAATGAGCCATTCGCAGTTTCACTGTACAGTCCGTGTGTACTTACACTTGCATGGCTTAATCTTTGAGACAAGCATATGCTACTGGCAGGATCAACCAGGTAGCCCACCGCGAGCCACTGCTCCGGCCGACGGGACCGGACGCTGCATCGAGACGAGGCGATGCGGGAGGGTGAGAGAACATGCGCTCCACGGGGGGCGCGCCGCGCAGGCCCGTGCCGGGGCATCGTCTCCCGGCGTCGCCTGGCGGTCGCGCTCCGTGCGGGGGACATCTGGGGCAGACGGGCCGTCTCGGACTCGCTACAAATCGGGCGCCCGGGGGGAAGCGCAGGGCCATCGGGGGCCGAACCCAGCGCGCGCACCAACCCACCCGGGCATAGAGGCAGACCCGCGTTCCGGGGAACCCTCCGCCCATCTGGCGGGGGCCCCCGGGTGGCGGGTCACGGTTGCAAATCGGTCAGAATTTTCACGTAAAGCATTTCCTCCACCGGCGCGCCCCAGCCGAAGCCAAAGCGCCCGGGGATGGCGCACCGCAGGCGGGCGCCCGCACCGGAAACTGAGACGTACAAAACGAAGCATTAGACTCCCACCGGTCTGTCTCCGGTTAACGCCTAACGAGGCAAAATACATCCTGCAGAGATACAGGAAGTCGGTTTTTCCTTCTGACTCACCATGAAATGAGGCTGCGTCAGTATCCGCCTGAGCTCCTTGGCTTCGTGGTTCTCTGGGTAGCAGGAGATCTCTTCCAGCACCTGAAGTTGCACAAAGAAGGAAAAGCATCACAACGGTTGGTTTTTAACACGCAGAGGTTCCGTCGTCTTCTCGCTCCAGGCCGGACACACTCCTCCAGACGTACCTCAGCACCCTGCTGTACCTGCCGCACCTCACACAGACGTACGGAGAGCAACCCGACGACCCCCCCCACCCTCCTCCCCTTAAGAAAACCTGGCCCTGACACCGCCTCCAACATCTCCACAGCCAATGTGACTGTAGAGCGCGCTCAGGGAGTCAGGGGAGCTGGTCAAGGCGCCGCCCCTCCTCCTGCCCTTTAGACGGGACCGGACGCCAGCTCCAGTTATGTTGCGCCTGACTGGTGAATGTGGCATTGTGAGGCCTCCCAGGGTGTGTGTGTGTGTGTGTGTGTGTGTGTGTGTGTGTGTGTGTGTGTACTACTGCAATTGACTTACACCCTCTTCCTTGTACAACCTGTGGGCATACATGAACAGCAGTCACACTTTTAAACAGGATGTGGAGAAACTAACCTCCAAAAAAAAAAAAACCTGGTTCATCTTTAGCTTGTGTGTCCGATGGGTGTACGGGTGAAGCATCGGGTCCTTCACTTCATGTCTCGCTGGTTCAGTTGATTATTTCAGTCCTCTAAGAGGTGATACAATAAGTCTACGCGGCTGTATCCCGCACCCCCCCCCCCGCAGTCCAAACCACCTCCAGCTCTGCCTGCTGCTCTACCCATGAGCATCGTGGCACCGCGGCGGTGTGTCGAGGGCTTACATATTCCAGGTGTCTCAAAGCGCCACTTGCTTCGTCCTGGGAGGAGCTCTTTAGTGGAGGAAGACACAGGGATAAGGTTATAACAGGCTGCAGATGGTCCCGTCTACAGGGAGCTCACACGTGACCACGGAGGTCAGCGGAAAGCCAGACTCCAGCCCTCGCCTTTAATCAAAAGACAGACATTTTGAATGGGCCGGGAATTTGTGAGATTAGTGTCTACAGCCAAAGCAGTTCACTTCACTCCCAGGAAAGATCAGCGCTCACGCTTAAGAGAAAGCAGTTGAGCTGATAAGTTTGACGGCGAAGAGGAGCATTAGTGCAGTCAGAAGAAGAAGAAGAAGAAGGCTTTGTTGAAGTTTGAGGCGCCTTATCGCTGCTCTGCTGGGTCCACGGGAAGCCGCGGTGTGATTGGTTCAAAGCACTTCAGTGTCGGCAGAATGAATCAACAGAGACAGAAGTGAAGCAGAGGAGGAGGAGGAGGAGGAGGAGGTCGTCGCTGAAGGACCAACCGAGGTTAAATGAGGAGTTAATTTGAGGTGAAACGGCGTGGAAGCAGGTCCGGGGCAAGGGGCTGAGAATACTGAGAGGAACCATCCTGGTTCACTGCAGGAGATCAGCTGATCCGTTGCCATGATCCAAGAGGGTCTGGATTGTTGTCCCTGATTAAATAACGGGGTTTACTGCATCCATCTATCACCAGTCTCCATACCGGAGAGAAATAGTGAGCTGTATGACACCAATAAAAAGGTTCAGATAGTGTTAAAAGTCCACTGCTGATCCAGTCTAACTTCAGAAAGGCTTTGGAAAATATGTCTGCACTAATAGAGGAGAGTGGATTCCATTGCTGCAGTATTTCCTTTGGCCATTAAAGCAGAAATTGTAAGATAAACTGAAGGAAGCAGAAGTTTCTGCAGACAAAGCGTTGACTTTCAAAGAGGTGAAGACAAACTTGAGTTCTCCTAAATCCTGGAGCAGATATTATTACATTCCTTTTTTATTGCGTCACTGTCAACAGTCTGCTCTCAAATGCTTCAGAGTCGGGTTTATGAGCAGAGTTCAGTGTGTTCCGCGAAAAACCAGTCACCTAATAAAAGACTTTATTCAAAGACACAAGATTACAAATAAAGCCTGTCGCTCCATGACACCCACAGAGACGGCGCCGAGTCTGCCGTGGCTCCGCCCACAAATCTTCACCCATCTCCGCTGATTTGAACAGGAGAACGTGCGACCCGCATGTGTGGGCAGACGGGGAACTTTCGGACACGGTGCACCAATTAGCCAGGTCTCTTCGACATGAACCACGGCCACATAAAGCAGAGCTCCGCTCCCCTTAAAAGGCTTTCTTCGTCTTTACAGCGGCGGGATGTGAGCCGCCGCCCGCCGCCCACTCGCTCGCCACTCAGACGTTCTAACCGCTCCCCTTAACAATTATCCACTCACGCAGCTTTCTTCTGCTTTGCCCTCACACAACTTGTTAAACCAGCGGTTCCGGCCTGCTCCGGCACTGAGGGGTTAACACGTCGACCTGAACTGACAGCGCGCATTTGAATACATCAGGGCCGTTGAAGACCTCAGAGACCATAATGCAACTCTCTGCGAAGAAAGCAAAACCACACTAACAGCCGACAAACACACGTGATGTGTGTGTGGCTGAGCGTTACATGCAGCAGCATCTCTAATGAGGAGGGTGGAACACAGAAGCCAGGCGGTGCAAACAGGGAGGCGGGTCATGAACAAATAAACCTCAGGAGGTCACAGAGGACCAGCTGACGCAACATAAATAATTCAATAATTTAATCTCCCGCCCGTTTTTGAGTCAACATAATTAAAGCGGAGCTGGAAATCAAACCGCAGAAAGGACGGGAAAGTTTGTGTTGACTTTCACTTCAATGACATCACTTTGGACCCTCCGCAGGAGAAAAGGGAAAACTCTCCTAAAGCTTTGCTTTAATATTTCAGAAACCTGAATCATTTTCACCAGATTCCCATTGTGTTTAAAGTTGTACGCTGCTGTCCTACAGGTGGTGCACGCTGTCAGAAGAGCGCGTGCCCGCTGCTGTCCCACAGGTGGTGCACGCTGTCAGAGAGCGCGTGCACGCTGCTGTCCTACAGGTGGTGCACGCTGTCAGAGAGCGCGTGCACGCTGCTGTCCCACAGGTGGTGCACACTGTCAGAGCGCGTGCACGCTGCTGTCCTACAGGTGGTGCACGCTGTCATAGAGCGCGTGCACGCTGCTGTCCTACAGGTACATGTAGAGGTAATACAGCCCAGGATTCTCTTCAGACTCTTACATTCAAATATCAGGCAAAAGGCTTCCACAGATTTAGATTGTTCCAATCCTTTCCAGACGTATTTAAATAAAGATGACCTCTAGAGACCCCCCCCAGCAGCTTCTTGCCATGAACAGAGCAGGTGAGCAGCGGTGATGAGTTAGAGCTTTAGTGAGGGATTAATGCGCAGGTGTGAGCTTAAAGAGGAAAGCCGGTGAGTAGTGAGCCCGTCATCTTTACAGATGTGTGTGTTTTCACCTCTTTGGCCCTCTGCACGGCATCGCTGGGGGGGTTCCTGATCTGCGGGGACGACTTGGTGTTGATCTTATCGTAGAGCTGGAACAAAGGAGAAGAGCCAGTTGGTGAGTCAGTGAGGTCAACTGGATCAATGGCGTCTCGTTACCAGGTGACCGATCGACGCGACGGTTCGGCGAGATCAAGATGATCGAGGTGAAATGTAGCTTTATGTTTCAGAACAATAAAAGGCCGTAATAAACATCAAGAAACAATCTGATCCAAGAACATCAGCATACTTTCTCATACCTAACCAGATGTGAAGTCATACGCTGAGATAACAACCGCTGTTTTGTTTTTTTTGTCAAAGTGTTGCAGTTTTATGAGGCATGAAAAGTAGAAAATAATAGACTTCCTATTCCGGTCAAAGCAGAAAGCCTTCAACCATCTGCTCAAAGTGAAAATGAAGCCACCCGTGGGCTACGGTACGCTGTAAGAATAGTCTGTTCTCTTTGGGGGGCCATTTCACCACAAAACTAAACCCACAAAGTTACTTCATTATTTCATCTGATCAACAATTCGGAAGTAGGGTGTAAAAAACCTTACATGGTGTTAAATTATTTGCTTTCTTACTTCCTGCATCTCTCTCAGCTGCGTCTTTGTTTCCTTTGGTCAGAGGAAATAGTTGTTTTACGGTAAACTGTCTTATGTGGCCGGAACCACAGCTATCTGGGTATCTGGAGATATCATTCGGTTAAAAGATTATAATTAATAATAAAGTTATATTTCCAGGGAAATTGTTTAAAAACAAAGCATTTATTTGATTTATTCAACCCATTTATCCTCAGCGATCTCTCTCCATTTGTTTGAACTCAGAGTCAATACAACGTTCTCTCCTTTTTGTTCTCAACTGTTAACAACAAGGCCCTGTTTTCTCGTCTGTGAGGGAGGGACGACACACACAAGCGCGTCGTTTATACGAGTCCCAGCTGACTAATAAACCGCGCCGACGAGACCGGAGTGCGAAGCAAGCGTGGGTTTATTTAAGAGATTTCATGTTTGTGCACCAAATGGTCCTGCAGCCAAAAACCAGCAGCTGTTTGCTCCAATCAAAGCGGCGAGGGGGAAGACGAGGGGGGGGGGGATCATCTACGACTGTCCCCATATGAGCAGCTCGTCCTCAACACGCGACCACCGCGCACACAAGCCGACACCATCCAGCCACACGGCGCCTCACGCCACGTGCAACGTGTGCACTGCGCGGTTCGGTCCGCGTCGGAGAAACCAGGCCCGCGGCAGTGACTGGTTACGCAACGCGCGACACATCATACACGCCGCACACTTTCCAGGACTGGCAACCACGTTGCTGCTCTGTGAAATTGTTTTTGACATGAAAAATATATTCTAATGAAACGTCAAAATAGGCAAAGAACTAACAGGAAGCCATTGTGGTTTCCATCACAGTGGAAAAAGGCTTGACAACATCAGCTGGTGCCGTGGGACATTACAGCCCATCCAGATGGGCCATTACACAGAGAAATAAAAGGGACGGTGGGTTTGCATGTAAATTGAAAACGTGTGTGTGTTTGTATGAGGGGGGGAGGGTGGCTCCGTCTGAAGATCTGACTCCACCAGAACAAAAAAAGTGGTCCTTCTGGGAACGTCGACAGTAGTCCAACCAAAACACAACACACTCCTCAGCAATCCTCGCGAGACGTCCGCGATGAACCGGCCCGGTGCCTCCCCGTTTGCCGCGCTGCCTTCGTGGGCCGTTAAACAAAGACGAACTGACCTCCGAGGGGGTTTTATGCAAACAAGTCCTAAAAGCACCGCGGAGCGGACTGAGAAAAATGTGTCGATACTCGAGGCTCCACCTCTGGAGCAGCGTCGCCCACGACCTCTTATTCCGAAACGATGTTCTATGACGTTCTGATTAGCCACAAGTGAACTCGACATTTCCATAATTGAAACGCACTTGGCTTAAAAGCGCCGAAAAACACACGTGGGAACAGCAGACCGAAAATGACTCGAGGCGTGTCGTGACTAAAGGCGTCAGGAGGAGGAAACACTCACCCAGGAGCCGGGAAAGTGGTCCGTCTGACGGTGCACTAGTGATCTGAACCAGGAGCCTGCGGCATGGCTGCTTCCCTCCCAGCGGCTACTCTCGTGCTTGTTTGCGAATGGACCAAAAGGGCCCGACAGAAGAAGCCATTGTTCTTTCACTGCACTCTTCTGTCCCTTCTCTGCCCCCCCCCCCTCACATTGGGGCAGGGGTGTGTAACCGAAGCTGAAAAGGAGACATCTGCAGCCGCAGGCTCACACTGACACTGCTGCAAACACACACACACGGCAGATCCACCAGTCTCCAGAAACCTACTTTCAACCCAGTCATCCTCCAGCAACTGGGAGAGCCTTTAAAACCACACACACACACACACACACACACACACACACACACACACACACACACACACACTCTTTAGCGATCTCTTACCCTCAAGTGTCTTTACCACAGCGATTAAAGCACATCTTAAAAGAAGGAAAACATTTATTCAAGAGGCCTCGTCTTTGCAAACATCTGCTCATCGACAGAGACGCGAGCTGATGTCGGCGAGACCACACGTCCTGATCACAGAGAGGCCCCCCCCCCCCAAAAACCCATCAGCTCCACCGGCCTGATGGGTGTGTTAAGGCAGATGGCTGATTGGTGTCACTAGCTTGATATCGCAAAAGAGAAAAATATCCAGGGACTTTGTATCAATTAAAAGCATTTGTATCAAAGCTTGGACATTAATTTAGTATTATAACCATCTATTTACTCATCTCAGTATTGTTATTTTTCTTCCTTTTAAACAAGTCCTGCCAACAAATGTTACGTTTGAACCCAAGAGAGACACACAGAGAGAGAACGGAGTAAACTAAACGCATTACGGGGACAATGAGAGACAAAGTGTTGCACAAACTGTGAGCCATCTGTGACACAATGTGAGGGCTCTGTGGTCAAGCGCACGCACACACACACACACACGGAGATTTAATGACACAACTGAAATCACATGACCTTTTGAGATTGCCTCCAGAGCAATGCCAATCATTGTGCGTGCAGGGGGGACGGAAGCGCTTTATTCCGCATATTAAACCACGCGGCCGTATACGGCGAACGCGGGCTTCCACGCGCTCCCGAGCGCTTTAACGCTCAATACGAATATCCCGATGTAAAAAGCGTCGCTCTTTAGCAGCCCGTCCGTCAACGTGAACACCGCCGACCGTTTCCTGTCTGCTGCGCGCGGACAAAGTACGAGTAGCTCCGCTTTGACGTTTTTTTTTTTTGGTTTTTCACATGTATATTTTTACATCCATCGAATGTCGGGTGCTTCCCAGGAGACAAACGCACGGCCAGCGGAACCCGGATCGTTTTGAGCACAGAAGGAACTTGGCTGAAGTGGGGGAGAAAAAGGAGGAATTCGGTGATTACTGGTTCCAAAAACGTGTAAACAGCGCAGACACTGGGGTTCGAACACGCAGGACCGTCTGACAAGTCTATATAAGGAAACCTCTTATTCCCTTGTTTTCTGTGCGTAGCCGCACGTCGCTACACAACGACCCGTTTGATAGGCATACGACCATACAACCACTGCTGTGTGCAGTGGCTGCTTCTGGTGTAGGGCCGATAATATTAGTGCGACACGTAGACCTGATGCTGGACCCCCATAGATTCTAAAGCTACGGTTAGTAGAGACAGCAGAGAACAGTAACGCAACGGAAAAGATGAAACACACCAGTTACTGCGGCCAGGGACTTAAACTTTAAGCTTTTATGAACAGCGGGACTAACAAATCATTCGTTGTGTTCCATTAGTCACCAATAAAGGAGAAAAGCCATCCCAATAAAATAAGAATGAATGGCTCATAAAAAGACTTATTCGCTTCAGTGTGACACTTACGTCGAGCAGTGTGTGTAGATGCTGGTCCTGGAAAACGCTGTGAAGGAAATCTAGATCCTTCTCACTGCAGTCTGTCAGCGCGTGGATCTCCTCTAAACTGTCCAACACCTGAGAGACAGCGCCTGCAGAACACACACACACACACACACACACACACACTAAAGCAACGGCTCTCTGGATGCATTCACTGTGAGGAGGATTCGTGCACTGAAATATTTTAGGTTCACTGAAAGCAGCAAAGATACGAAAAACAGAGCGACAAGCTAACAAACATTTAAGGGTCACGACACACACACACACACACACACACACACTAAGCGGGTACCTACGTTCTGCTGCTAGCAGGCCTAGCAGGTGCGAAGCATTAATGGAAAAACACAGATGGACACTTTTACAAATAAAGAATATCAATGCTGGAAACCGTTTATTTTGTTGGACAGTAGAAATGTGTCTGAAGTGCTGAAGTCAGTAAACAACAGACGAGGAAGGCGTCCTCTATGCGTCAGCATAATGATCAGGGCTTCAGTGGTTAGTTCCTTTGTACCCAACAGAGTGCACGAGGTGAGTTCTTTGCGCAACGAGTGAAACGTCTAATCAAGTGTTGCTCGCTCTCATTTTGGTTCAAACCGCTCTGATCGGCCCCTTCTGTGGCGGACCGGAAACGAGTGCTTGATCAGCGGGGTTTTCATCTGATGTGTGATCCTGCGATTATCGGGGAGGAGCCAATATGCAATCAGCTTGGTTCGTCTTGGTTCGTGTGTCCACAGCGAAATGGGACTTTTGCGTGCCGATGCGCTTGCAGAAAGAGAAGAGACGCTCACGTTCCCGTCTGAAGCATCTAAACACAGCCAGTGGAAGTGAGAGCCTCCCTCTGCAGGGCCCCTCGAGATTAATACTCGAGAGGAAGGAAGTGTGTCAAAGATGAGCATGAGTGCAGGACTGTTTCGTCACCCCGCGTACCTGAGGAGGTCGGGTCCTCGGAGAAGTCGTGCAGCTCCTCGGGGGGGTCTCCATAGAAGGAGTTAAACTTGTGACTGGACACTGCCGCCAGAACAGCCCCCTGAAACCCAACGACATGTGTCATGTGACCATTTATCTTTATGTGTGCGTGCGCGTGTGTGTCGATGCAAACCTTCAGCTTCCTCCTAGAGTTGAACTTTCTCAGCTGTTCCACAGTCTCTGGCAGGTGGATTTTGTAGGCATATCGGTCCCTCTCCTTGGAAATCCAACACAGAAATGCACATTGCTGACACAGGTGAAGGCTCACAGAGATGTTGAGTAACAGGAGGATAAATGGACCTGCTGTTGGGTATTGTGATACAAGTGGTGCTGCATTCAGATTGTCGTGGTACATAAGAGCCGTGACGTCATCCAACAGAAGATGCTGCTGCTGCTTCGACTGAACCTCGCAAACGGGAAGTGGCATGGTCCAAACTTTAGCTTTCTACCACTGAGTAACTGAACTAAAACTAGAAAAAGTGAAGGGTTTGTGTCGGGCGGACAGCGAGTGCCTCAGTCCGATTGTCATCTTAAGTTCCGCTCCATCACCGGCCACACAAGATGACACAAGAAGAGCTTCCGCTGACAGCGGTAACGCCACTGTGCCGCCGCTCGCTGTCATTGAGGCGACGGATCGCGACGTGATGGCTTGAGGCTTCCCTCCGCCGCTGTGTCTCACTAAAGTATACACTTTGAACGTCACGAGATGTTAATCCAACGTGGTGAATAGTGATATTAATGTCATAACCCAGTTGGGATTCAACCAAAGGGCCTCTGCTAGTGGTGCATTCAACCAGTTTCACTACTGACATTAACAGCGTGACCACTGGGGGGGGGGGGGGGGGGGGGGCGGCTCTGCGTCACCTTCAGCCAGGGGTGGTTCAGGGCCTCGTAGACGGTGATCCTCTCGGCGGGGTCCAGCATCAGCATGCGCCTCACCAGGTCCTTGGCGCTCTCTGATATCTGGGCCCACTGGCGAGGATTCATCTGCACGCAACGGATACAAAACGGACATTTCAGGAGATCCGCCCCCCAAGGCTCAACGTCCCAAACATTAAAAGGTTGAGTTCCAGCCAGGTGGATGTTCGCGACCTGGGCTCGCCTTCCTGCCAGTAATAATGGAGAAGCGGACATCTGGGAACAGAGCAATGGGGAACCAAATGAGCTAGTTCTCTTTATCCATTTCTGTGAACTGGATTTCCCCAACCATTATATACAAGTTCACCTCGTTTTCTCTTACAAATCATCTGGACAGATGTGGGTATTTGTTTAAAACGAACGTTCCCGTGTTCCCTGTGAGAGCGTCTCGTTTCCCCCATTACAGTTAAATATGGCCGTAACCACGACGACACCAGGCTCGTCCCATCAATGACCTTGTATTTGCCCCTGCAGATGGCTTCAAACAGGCGCTCCTTGGTGCCGTAGAAAGGCAGACAGCCCGAGAGGAGGATGAAGAGGATGACGCCGCAGCCCCACACGTCCACGGGTTTCCCGTACGGCTCCCTCTTCACCACCTCGGGGGCCATGAAGTGGGGAGTTCCCACCCGACCTGTGAGGAGAGCGGAGAAAGTGTTGAGGAAGAGACACTAAACAGGACTCAATTCTTCTTTCGGAAGTAGAAAAAAAAAGGAAGTTCTTCTGGGCAATTTATAAAACAATGTATTTGTCATTAGGATTGTATATGAAATATGAAACCTTATTGTTGGTTGTTTGTCTCTTATTTCGACATAACCGGTGACACACCCGATACTTCATGTTTATTGAACAATTATTTTTACGATCTGGTGAGCAGAGTGAAGTGAACTTTTCGTTGTGCGTCTCCGCTCGTCGTCGGGTAACCTCGGGTAACCATGACTCTCATGACCATCCCCTCTCGTCGTGGTCTGTTGCGTTTGCAGTACCTCCGGCCACCAGTCCCGACTCGCCGAGCTGGATGGCAACTCCGAAGCCCCCCAACTTCACCGGAGCGGAGTTCTCTTTGGACGCCAGCAGCACACAGTGAGGCTGAGGACGAGAAGAAGGGAGAGAGACGCTCGTCACTCAGTCCATTTCAAAAGAGAGACACACGCTCTTATGGACAAAAGACGATTACGTGTGCGAGACACGCCCGAACCCCCAAAACACGACCCCACCCCCTTCCCCCCCACGACCACACGCACGCATGAAGCCACAGCGTCGGAGGATCACAGCAGACGGCGACTTGCATACGTTTGAGGTGTCGCCTCAGTTTCTTAAGCAGAATGTCAGTTTCTTTTAGTGACTATGTGGTCATTTTCCATGTGCATGCCTCGGCCTACACATTTAGCAGCGGGTAACGTCTCCTGGGAAGCATTTTAAACCCGGCCCTGCGTCGCTCTGAAAGCACTGCTTTAATTATTGTCAGGCCATACGATGGTATTTTGGGAGCTCTCTGCTCCCACAGTTGGCCACGCTCAGCAGATACCTCCACATTACAGCGAGCTGTGTACATACAATTGGAGCTCGCTCTGTGTTCCCCCTGCTCGCTCTCGAGTGTGTATCACAAGCCCCGCCCTAGGCCCCGCCTCCAAACCCCGCCCCCAGCGTTCTCTCGAGTTCAGACTGAGTTCTGCTAAGTTGTGGTGAAGAAAGAGAGAGAGGGAGAGAGAGAGAGAGAGGGGGGGCCTGACCACAGCTCGAAGGTTTGTGCGCTGTACAATATTAACACATTCTTCCCAGCGTCGATGTGCACACTCTCGACAGCACCGCCGGCGAGGACGAGCCTCACGCGCCGAGCACAGTTCTCTGGAATATAGACAGCAGCTGGGAGCGGAATACACAATGACAGGAGGGAGGCATCTCGAACGAGGACAGCGGATCGTACAGATTTAGCTGCAGGGAACAAAGGGACCGGGTGGAAAAGAAGACGTCTCTCCAGCAAGAAGAAAAGAGAGTAAACTTCACTTTGATGGACGTAAATGACGAGGTGAGGACTTTTGACGAGTTCCACTCGCAAGTATTAACTTTTGTTACACGGACTGAGAGAACTATTTTCACATTAATTGAGTCATGGATGCTGTTGATTCTTTCTTGAGGTCAGCTGGTGTTACTGAGGGCCAGATTAAGAGTAATTTAGAGGTAATCCCCGATGCAGGAACCACAAGCCTGCGCTAATAAATCCAAAAGTTTTATCATGTGAAGCGTGAAAAACCTCTCGGAACACTCGATCCAAACAAATGACACATTTTTCGTCCTGTTTTGTAGGACCGAGGATCCCAAAGAGCACCATGATCAGAAACATCTCCACCACCACGTTCCAGACTGCGGACGGCGCCGCAGAGACCAACTTCACCGCGAGCCAACAGGCGTGCGTGAACCGCGGCGCGCTGCAGAGCCCGCTGGCGGTGCTCTACAGCGTCATCTTCGTCCTGGGGCTGGCCGGGAACCTGCTGGCTCTGCTGGTTTTCTTCTGCGTTCACTCCAAGAAGAACTCGGTGCGGGTGTTCCTCATAAACATCGCTTTTGCCGACCTGCTGCTGGTGGTGTGCCTGCCCTTCAGGATCCTCTACCACAGCCGGGGCAACGTCTGGACCCTGGGGCCCACCTTGTGCAAAGTGGTGGGCAACCTCTTCTACATGAACATGTACATCAGCGTCACGCTGCTGGGCCTCATCAGCGTGGACCGCTACCTGAAGATCCACCGAGGTGCGAGGGCGCAGCACAGGCTGCGCTCCACCAGGTGGAGCAGTGTCCTCTGTGCGCTCGTCTGGCTCGTGGCCCTTGCTTTGGCTGTGGCGCTGCTGATGTCCAAGAACCACTCGCAGGTGGAGAGGTCGGTGCCCCGTCCCAGACTAATCACCCTTTTTGTCGAGTCGGTATTATTTTTCATGCCGAATGTCTCATTTCCTTGAAATTCTGAGTCTGACTGTATCCCAGTTTGAGCTGACACGACATGCTGCTGTTTCCAGATGTTTCCACTACAAGGTGCTGCAGAAGGCCAAGTGGAAGGCTTACATCAACGTGTCTCTGCTGGTGGTCTTCTGGCTCGTCTTCTTCTCCCTGGTGGTGTCTTACGGGAAAATCGCTCTCAAGCTTCAGAGGACATCTCGGGCGAGGCCGGACCTGCCCAACGCCTCCCGCTACACCCGGACCGCCAGGAAGTCCTTCTTCATCCTCTTCCTCTTCACCGTCTGCTTCGTCCCGTACCACGTGGTCAGGGTGTTCTACATAAGGACCCAGATCACGGACACGTCCTGCTTCTGGCGCGGCGTGGCCGACAAAGCCAACGAGGTGGCCCTGCTGTTTTCCGCTCTCAACAGCTGCCTGGACCCCGTCATGTACTTCCTGGTGTCCTCCTCGATGAGGAAGGAGGTGCTGCGCTTGGCGGGCAGCATGTTCTGCGTGCGAGACGCCGGCGCAGTCAGCGGGAGCACCACCAGCGTGGAGCCGGACGGCAGGACGGACAGGGGAGAGGCGAACGTCAGCTTGAGGGGGAAGACGAGCACCGAGTGCAGACCGGCTCTGAGCCCGTGAGCCTCCGGCGGGCCGAGGGAGGAGCCAGTCCAACGGGAGTACCGGCAGTCATACGCCCCTTCGTCTACAGCGGACTCTAAACGCTTGAGATCAGAGCAGGTGGATGACGGGCGCAGGACGGGATGGTGGGCGAGATGCTTGTTGCACTGTTGTTGCCGTGTTTTTTGTTAAGTTGTATTGTGCTTTAGCAGCCATGTAGGTACGGTTTTTGAATACCACATGGATGCAGACTTAACCTCTGCTCCAAATGGGAGACACGTTCTGTTTGATAAGAAAAACGTTTTTTTGACCTGATGTTTTTTGATTTGTTTCCATGACATTTTTTGACATTAATATATTTGGACTTTTTTTGTCAAAATCTTCAAATTGCTTCTTTTGTCCATGAACAAAAATGTCAAACAGCCGCCAACATTTGGAACCAGAGAATGTTCACTATGTTTTATCTTGATAAAAGACTAAATCAATCAATGGATCTTTGTTTTCCAAGGAGTTCATTACCACATTTGCTGCTGTATTAACGAAGCGTTACCAGCGACCACAACTACAAAAATTGTGATTACCAAAGAAAGAATTAATGCATTTCCATGTATGATTTGAAAGAAGTTGAAAGAATTTATTAGTTGTTACCAAGGTGAAAGTGTCAGCTTTTAAAGAGCGACATGTTTTCCTGCTTAGGACTGCATCTCGACTTTGTACCGTACTCAAAGCGTTTACCACTGTGGTTAGTCATGTACGTCTTTAAAAAGCTCAATATAGATTGTATACAGTGTGTCGAGAGGAGAAACGCCCTTCTTGCTTCTCAGCTAGAACTAGAGCAGCAGTGCCCCCACAAGGCTTGTGTGCATCTCACACCAAAGGAGGGAGGTGTAGAGACATGGACGGGGGGGTGTACCTAATAATATGCATCATACAAAAGGAAATATCAAACCTAGAAGAACTGCTCCCTCAATAGTGAACATTTCAAGTTGGACTTCAAATACACAAGCAAATAGCATCACACTCAATTCTCATCGACACGCGACGTATCTGTCAGCACAACGTCATGAGGAAGTAGGAAACACATATAGCACATGTAACACTGACCTAAACACACACGCGCGCACATTTTTATGATAAACTTGTCTTTCGTTAAGAAGCAGGAAGTTACAGAAAAGCTTTGCATTGATCTTGTGAGTTTCTGGTTGGCTGATGTCTTTGAACGATTCCGTCAAAGTTACAGCGGGAGGTAAGAATAACGGCAACGGCATCGGGATGCTAATTCAGGTAGTGGCTCTCATTTGCCGATTGTTTATCGCTTCTTATAACATTTAAAAAACAAACTCAAATGCATCGTTATTTTTTGCATTGGAGGTTCATTATGTTGCTCGAGGAGGCTCTAAGAATTATTCGTGTCAATCTGCTCTACCAACTGTGCTTTTTAATGATATTCAGAATAATATCATGAGGATGAAGTGGTAGAACATACATGAAATTATGGAATAAAATAAAGTTCACTTTCAACTCTAAAATTCAACAATACGTTGTGTCTTATTTCTGCTGGTTTTTGTGGTTATGTGCAGATTTTCAAGCATATTTTGAAACGAATGTACGAGCTTTTTGCTTTTTGTGAAATGCTTATTGTATATCTATCGCGATCACATCACACCAAGGCGAATAAAACCGCTGACTTCTTCCGTCCTGCTCACATCAGTCTCTCCTCGCTCCTATTCATCTTCTTGCTGCAGGTCACATGGGGAATACGCTGCACACTTTCCCCCCGGACAACGCTTCCCTCCCCTCCTCGGCCCTCTCCCTCTGCCCCACCGCCGTCACGCTCGTCTTCCTGCCCTCCGCCTACACCCTCCTCTCCCTCACCGCGCTGCCGGGCAACGCGCTGTCTCTGTGGGTGTTCCTGCGGTGCATCGCCACCGCGTCCCCCACCCACGTCTACCTGTCCCACCTGAGCGTCTCCAACCTGATGGTGGCCCTCACCGCGCCCTTCCACGCGGCCTTCTTCGCCCGAGGCTCGTCCTGGCCGCTGAGCGGCGGCGCGTGTCAGCTGGTTGTGCACGCCGCCACCGCGCTGTCCTACGTCAACATCCACATCGGCATGGCGATCCTCACTTGGTTGGCGCTCAGCCGCTTCGCCGCCCTCGTCCAGCACACCCACGCCTCCCGGCGGAGCGCCTGCACCACCCTGCTGCCGCGCGGCTTCTTCGCCCGCCTCACGATGGCCTCCTTCGCCAGCAGGGTGTGCGGCGGCGTGTGGGTGGCGGCGGTCGTGGGCACGGTGGCTTTTTACTACTTGGTGCAGGAGTCGGTGAGGGGCGACGCGGCGGCCAGCGGCGGGTGTGTGGAGCGGTGCTACAGCCCGGCGGTGGAGATCGGACGCGGCCCGGCTGCGAGGGTGGCCGTGGCCGTCGTCGCGCTGTTCTTCCTCTTCTACCTGCTGGTGCTGCTGTCCTACATGAGCGCGCTGAAGCACATCGAACGCTCACGCCGCAGCGCGAGACGCAAGACCTCCCAGAGCCTGCTGGGCAGGGTCCTCCGCAACATCGTCATCATCCAGGTGGGCTGGAATCGCACCGTGAAATAGCAAATTGTCGCATTGATAACCAAAACTAATTCCCGGCGCTCGGGTCAAACACAGGTCGTCCTCTCAGTCTGTCTGCTGCCGTACTACATCTTCAAAGCGATCTTCATTTCATGGGTGATCGACGAGCGGCAGCGGACGTATCCGGCCGGCGCCTGCAACCTCTGTCACCCGCTCTCCCCCTTCATCGAGGTCACTACACATCCCCTCAGTGCCAATGCTCTTCTTCACTTAGTTACAGAGTCACGCGGCGTGATGACGGGTGCGTCTCTCTCTCCTCTCCCTCCAGCTGAAGAACTGCCTGCTGCTTCTGGCTGCGTCGAGAGGTTCAACGGACCCGCTGATGTACTTCCTGTTGGACGAGACCTTCCGTCATCAGGGCCTGAGACTTCTGAGGTGCAAGCGAAACAGCCCCGACGGGCGACCGGCGGATTCGGCGAGGGGAAGTGACAATCAGAGGGGCGGACAATTGGAGGACGGAATTGTGGATTTCACTGTCTAGTAGCTGGCAGATGTTTCTTATATACGTAGATGAAGCCTGACGAGATAATATACGTATATATAATACACATATACATACAAGTTCAAATGTCCTTTTTCAGCCATGTCACAAAACGAGAATACCAGCATTACATTACGATGGTATCAAGTCATTTTCATGTCCAACACCAAGCTATAAATATTTAATACCCATATGTGTGCGCAGCTTTGCTCGGTAATTGTGTACAAATTATTGAGGAGGGATTACAGAATGTGCACCGGTGTTTGTGTTTCCATACGACGCTGCTGTGTGAAGTGAGGCCCCTGCAGACGCGTGTCGCAGAGAACCGGGACGTGAAGACCGAAGCAGAAAGACACACACACGCACACATGCATACGTGGTGCACACACACGCACGCACACACGCATACGTGGTGCGCACACACACACACACACACACACACACACACACACACACACACACGCATTCGTGGTGCACGCACACGCACTCGTGGTGCACGCACACGCGCACACACACACAAGCATTCGTGGTGCACGCACACGCACACACGCATACGTGGTGCACGCACACGCACACACGCACACGTGGTGCACGCACACGCACACGTGGTGCACGCACACGCACACGTGGTGCACGCACACGCACACGTGGTGCACGCACACGCACACGTGGTGCACGCACACGCACACACGCACACGTGGTGCACGCTCACGCACACACACGCATACGTGGTGCATGCGCACACACACACACACGCGCATACGTGGTGCATGCGCACACACACACGCGCGCGCATACGTGGTGCACGCACACACACACATGCACACGTGGTGCGCACACACACACACACACGCACACGTGGTGCGCACACACACACACACACGCACACGTGGTGCGCACACACACACACACACACACGTGGTGCGCACACACACACACACGTGGTGTCGCACACACACACACACACACACACACACACACACACACACACACACACACACACACACACACACACACACACACACACACACACAGGCGAGAGGAAAAACACACCACCCATTAAAGGAAGGAGGAAAGAAGGAGTCAGGAGAAAGCCCGTGGAGATGAGAATAATAGATGTGTGAGCGGAGCTGTGAGCCTTTGCTGCTGGTGAAATACTGAAGCTGGAGGGATTCTATTCTAGAAAAAGTGAACGCAAACTCACGGATGAAAATAAAACAAAAGAACTGACGTCTTTTGCATATTGAAGCCTTTACACGAACGTAGAAAAAGACACATTGTGATGGATTAGTCGCTGCTCCTTTACCAATAGTGTTGGTTCAATAGGAACCTGCTAGCTGTCGCATCATTGTGTCAACCTACTGAAAAAAAACAACATTATATTTGCATAATCAGCAACCTGTTCACTTAAACTATTTCTCCCAAGCACATTAGCCTCCTTTTTAAAACAAAAAGTCTACCTAAATGCGTTTTTTGGTCTGTGGCCAGTAGTTTTAACACCCTTGTCTTCAAATAGCTTCTGTGAAACCGCCCCCCCGGCCTTCACACGCTACACATCTTCCATGCGGCTCAACGGGAAGTCACATTCTCTCACCCATCCGCCCACAAACTTTCAGGAGCTTAACTTAAAGCATTTTTAGCTCATTTGCTGAAGCCGATTGTTTTTCTGAAAGACTGACTACTATTAAAAGAATTCCCCCGATCCCTTGGCTTCATTACAGATACCGGCGGCCCGCATCAAAGACACTGTGTATGCGACGTGTGTGCGTGTGTGTAACGTGAGTGTGTGTCTGGGTGCATTCTTGCATTCATTTGTTGTTGTGAGAAAAGTCTCCCCGGAGACGGCATTAGTTCCAGTAGTTGTCCACCGCTGTCAGAGAGGGACGCACACACTGATGGTTGTTTTTGTGTGTTCGGGGCAGGACATGAGCGATCACTCCGAGGAGGCGTGAGGCTGTTAGCCGCACATTTAAGAGTCACCCGTCCATCAAGTCAAAGTCTGTGAGTGAGCAGGGACCCGTCTTTATCTTGTCATGTGGAGCTGGTTTTTGTCTCTCAACCACACACACACACACACACACGCGCGCGCGATATACAAGCATTTCCTTTCTGACTCAAATGTACAAGAAAATAAGCTCATCTACTTATGTTTTGTCCACGTTCAATTATTATCATCCTCCAAAGGGCAGAACCCACACATGTTAAAACGAGTATTGGAAATCTCCAGATGACAAAAGCTCTATTTGAGATTGAAGACGACACGCTGCGTCTGTCTTTGTCTCTTTCGACAGTTCGACAACTGGGAGAAAAAGAACAGCTGCAATTATGCAAATTGCAACAACACGAAACAGCGCGGATGTGTCGAGCTCGCTGGTACGCAGAGGCCTAATTTCGCCATCAAACCTGAACGTCTGAGACACACGTCAAACCAGCCGGATGCGAATGAATGGATGCGGATATTTCGGGAAACGAGCGTGCGCCGTGCATATTCACCTGCGTGTGCGTGCGTGGGTGATTTGTGCGCCACAGGTCATGACATCATTTCATGGTCGACATCGTGAGGCCCATTGAATCCCATTAGCTTTTAGCTCCTCCATGCAGCCTCACATCATCACACAAACAACGCAGCTGTGAGTCCTCCGAGTGTCTCACAAAGAGGTCCAGAGGGCCAATTTATCTTGCAAAAGCAGCTGACATCCCAGAATTCAGAGGGGAAGTGAGTCCTCGGTGCCTCCGTTTCACTCGGACCTTATTCACTCATGCAAAATGTGTGAATCTGCAGGTGAGCGGCTCATACTCGCCTCCCGAAGGTGACGATCACGCTTCAGTTTGGCCTACAGCTCCTAAGATGTGATGGTGTCTATGTGTGTGTTTACATGTGCCGACCACCAATCATCGCCCTAAATTCAAAATTCAGAGCATATTTATGATCGACGCAATGCCGTCACACAGCAGGACAAAGTCTGCGTGGGCTCACAAGCCCGATGATGTGGAATAAGACATAAAAAAGTGTGAGCTGCGATCCATTGTTGCGAACTAATCAGAATAATATTGCGCGTCTAAGCTTTGGTGACTGCCTGAATCACATGACACAGGACAGCGGGGAACACGAGGTGGAGCTGCTCACGGCGCTTAGTTTTTTGCCCTCGTCCACGTCCGATTTCAGACGGCACGCCGTCCGGTAAATCAAGACGCCCGTTGGCTTCTCAAACTGAAATGGCAAAGCGGAGGCGCCCTCACCCTTTAACACAGCGTGAGAAGTTCCCTCAAAGGTCGTGAGCAGAAAGGCCTTCATGTGTACGTTTGATTCTAGAAAGCTCACAGAACGAGGCTCCGACTTCAGAACAGCTGCACAACACTTCCGCCGGACGAGGCGATTCCACCGCAGCCCGCAAGCAGGGCGGCGCCACGGGGAGGAAGATGAATACCGAGGCATCGGGATTTACGTGGATTCAGTGACTTTCACGCACGGAGCGACGTGAACTCGAGCGGATCCATATTCAACAAGGACGTAGCCGACTCCATCGTGAGGTCGGGTCTCCTCCTCCGCTTGTTTGCCCGTTTAATCGGCAGGATCGGACCTGACCGGCTTCCATACCGCTTTGAGGGAAACCCCCACAAAATAGTCTGGATTTTAAAGTAGTATTAAAAATATATAGTCTATATAAAATTCAATACATTTGATTTTTTTTTATTTTTTTAATCAGTTTCAAGACAAAGCAAAAGTACGTAGGTTTAGGGATTACACTTTTAACTGCTTATGAAATGGAAACAAATAATTTCCAATGATTCCTTATGAAAATAGTGGCTGACTTGTCTCATTTCCATGTATCCATCATCAATTGACTGGGGATGGATTTTTTATTATACAAGGAAAGCCGCCCTGTGGGCTCCTAAATGGTTGAGTGAAGCATCTTGTGACAGCTGCGATGCACCTGACAGCAGCCGGCAGTGATGGGAAAAACCTCCCTGTCACTTCCACGTGTTCTTGTAGTCGCTGAATCGGGACAGACGAGTGGAGGGGACGAGTGTCCGAGGCCACACTCACAATGCCGGACACTTCAACCCTTGGAAGGAACATTCCACTACAAGTCACATTAATAAATCGACCTGTAATGTCACACGCGGTCGACGTGCGGCTGTGACTCTTTAAGCTGTACAATCAAGGAGCGAAAAGCTCCTTCAACATTTGCGTTATTCCTCCTTCGACGGTCACATGGTGTGTCATTAGAGGCTTTAGGGCTTTTTCTTCCAGTCAAGAGGACTTTGAGATGTATCCAGATATTGGAAAGATACTAAAATGTTAGTTACACTTTGTTCCAGGCTACACGGATTTAGGGTTTTCTTTTTAAGACGCTGCACTCGTTATGTGGCAATTTACGGTTTCGGTTCAATGGACTCCTTTCGTCGTCTCTTGTCATTGTCGATGTTAATGACTTCTTCCCCCCTTTGTGTCACAGAGATGCCTCTGCCTTCGGGATTTGCATTAAGCATTACGGTTTCAATTAAGAAGGCTGTGTGTTGAAAATGCAAAAATAAAGTAATATAAAAAAAAAGGCCACAATTTGACCACGAAACATAGAGAGATTTGAGACGATGTGTGAACGTGCTGTGATTTGCTTTCGTTTTAAATGTTTTTTTGTTTTTCCGTTGTATAGTGGACCTGAGGTGAGGCGGTGCAACTCTATAGAAAACAACACACATTTGGTGGAACTAGAGGAGCCGTATGAAACTAAAACAGAGGAGCAAAGCAGGAGATGCGCCTTTCACTGAGCCAGTGACTCAGCAGGGATCCGCCGTGGGGGCGGGAGGGGTCAGCCGGCTGAAGACGCGGCGATGGAAGCGTGTAGGTAACGGTGACTAATACCTGAGCTCAAGGCCGAGGGCAGCTGGCAGCGGAGAACGCGCGGAGCGAGGCCAGAAAACGCGCTTCAAGCCAAGTGCTGCAGTGGACAGCGAATAAGAGCAGTTCAACTCACAGCTGGGGAGGGACGCGCTGCACGTTTGCAAACGGGGGGGGGGGGGGGGGCGGCGCTTTGAATGCAAAGCTTAATTTTACTTTACGGGCAGCGCATGCAATCACAGAACTGCATTAACCTTTTCACACGGAAGCCAAGCGCGTGGGGAGAAGCGGCGTAACGAAATGTCACACAGGAGGCAAACTTCCATCCGTGTAAACTTCCCGCCGCCGCCGCGCGGTCGTCGTGCTTGAATCAACCACGCTGATCCTCACGCGATAATCGCGTCCCTCTCGACTCGACCGCTTCTGCCACAGCGCAGCTAGAAGATGAACAAATACCTTGACGTCTCGGTGGATGACGTTGTTGTCGTGGCAATAGCGCAGCGCCTCGAGGATCTGTCTCATGTAGTGACTGAGGGAAAGAGGTTTGTACGGTTATCGCCGTGATCACAAATACCAGCGTCAGAAAAGGGATGAAAATCGGGTGCGGGAGTCCTCACCTGGCCACGGCTTCGCTGTAGACGAAGCCGGCGTCCGCCCTCTTCACGATCTCAAAACACAGGTCTGCTCCGTCCATGCTGACAAAGACAGACACACACACAGAGAGAGAGAGGATGAAGGGCGAGTCAGGGATGCAGGAGCAAAGGAAAGGTCACGCTTATTAAAACGTCTCTGATCGCTGGTGTCGATGAAGTGGGGAAACGCTGTGATCGTGTCTCTGTGGGCCGTTGATGCGATACAGAAACAGGCCGCTGCAGCCGAGGTGGGGGCCAGAGGGGTGTCGACGACATCCGGGGACTCCGGGGATTTGACGGGGGCGAAACAAACGTTAGGTAAGTAATTACTAAAATCCAGATGGGGAGAAGCCCGTAATGACCACCGGGCGACTTTGAAAGGTGTCCCATAGATACGTGTGGAAAATAACGCCAATCTAATGATTTTAAATGAACTGCTAGGTGAACACAAACGTGTGCGTTGTCAAATACTAAATGGTGGTACTTCGGTTTTCACTGTAATTCCTGGACAAAAACACACACACACACACACTTCCCATTCTTCCCCAGGTACTGCACCCTGCTCTTTATTGTCACTAAGCCCCTCCACCAATCAAACGCTGGACGTCCACATCACCTCCCGTATAGTCGGGATTTAGGCTGCTTGATTACCCGGGGAGGAGGAGGGGGCGGGGGGGGCTCTCAGAGCGGCTACAGTCCTCAAAGGACGCCTCAAAAACCCACCTGCGCCCCCTCCCTCCCCGTGTCTCTACAAGCCGGCGTGTCCCAGAGAGTTTCTCCCGCCCCGCGTGCGGAACCCGAGCTCTCGCCTGCTCAGCGATAATAACGGAATCAAACGATGGAGGAATTAGTTTTGGAAGAGGAGAAGCGATGGAGATACGGCGCTCGGAGAGAAGCTGGAGGTAGCGGCAAGTGTGAAATCTTAATCTCATCTCTTTCCCCTTCATATATACCGTACTGCCCCCCCCCCCATCCCCTTCTTCTTACACAACCCTCATCCTCAGCTAACAAGCTTTCTCATATCAGTGCTGGTTATATAAACCCGCCGCTTGCTGCGACCACGCTGCCGCCCCACTGCCCCCCCCCCCCCTCTCCCAAACACCACCTCATCCTCACACTGTGACATCCACCCGCTGACCTCTACCAGACCGTTGCATTTCCTCCTTCACCCACGCACGTGTTTGCCGTGAGGGGGACTTTTGGGGGGGGCGAGGGAGGGAGTTGTGATGCGACCTGCGTGTTCGGTCACGTCGAGCAAAGCGGAGACTTACTACTCGAAAACCATGTAGAGCATCCCGTCCGAGCTGTACGTCTCCAGCAGCTCCACAATGTGGGGGTGCTTCAGCATGTGGCAGATGCTGGCCTCCCTCTTCAGATCTGAGAGAGAGAGAGAAAGAGAGATGAGCATATGACAAGACCAGCATGCATTCATAACCTTTATGATTACAAGTCTCTGAGATTTAAGAGCCGGGGACTTTTTCAACTGTGAAAGGTGACAAAATGTGTGTGTAATGATTGTAGGTTATAATATTATAGTTGCTAAACCAGAAAGACATTTTCTTCAACAACAAAAAGATTACTCGTTTAGTCATTCTATTCCTTTTTCTAAAACAAATAACAGGGAGTCTTGCTAGGAGCAACTTATGCTAAGTAGCAGAACTGGCAACGCGCTAACTGTTTTAATCAGTATAGTGGAGCATTGCACTTCATATATATCTCCAGTGAAAACATTCTCCTCTTCCTCTCCGCATCCTCATCAGCATTTCCACCAGCCGGCTCTCCTCATTAATCAGAGAGTTTAAATCCAACCCCCCGTCTGCCTGATGCTGCGTCTCTCCGGCTGATGACTCCATCTATATTCTGACTGGCAGCCTGAACGAGACGTTAAATATTTGTTTACCGAACTGCCGAGAATAACCAACGGTATAACCCAATTGAATCCGTCGCATTCACAGGTCTGATAGGAGATGCACGCGACACCTCTGGAGACGGATGCGCTGGGTTTCTACACCGTTCAGCGGCTTATATATGAACCCCACATTTAACGCCTGCCTCCCAATCCTATGCACCAAAGTGTGAAAGCACAATGAATTTTTTTGATTGATAAAATGATATAGCTTCTGAGCTGCAGCAGTGACGTGCCGACTGACCCTCCCCCAACCGCCCCTCCTCAAAAAGGCTTCAACAGCCTCCTGCAGACTGTCACAGTCTAATGTTGGTTAAGTTTGTTCATAAAGGTCTCCTAAAGGCCCAGAATAAAGAAATAAAGTCATAACCAATGATTCGTCCAAGACAGGCCAGACCTTTGAAATAAATCCATTTAGGACATTTTAATTCTCTCCATGTCCTCTTGAGGATGCTGTTCAAGGCTTCTCAAGGCCTGCAGACACAGAGACCGATAGAAGTCAAAAGGCGGCGTGAAGAGAAAGTGCCGCTGACTAATGTCGACCCCACCGGCACCAGAAGGAGAATGTGGAGCACAAATCTGAGTGATTTTTACTTCAACAGCCCAGAGAGTGGATCCTGCGGATTGGATTTGATAAACAAAGGGGATTTGCCTTCACTATGAACATCTAAACATAGCCCAGCGCATCCATCCCTGCTTGCTTGCTTTCATCCTCCCATTCAATCTCTCAATCCTTTGATCCATCCATTCATACTTTCCCCAAAGCAGATCCTTCCTCCTTCACCTCCTGGCAGCTGTTGTTCACAGACCACAGAAATAATCAGCGCATACGCAACCTTTCTGCCCCGAGCACAGTCTCGTCTCATTGGCTGACAATGCATCAACAAGGGCACTTAAGTGCATTAACTTTTATTATCCGTCTCTCTGTTGGGCCAAAGTGTACACGCTCCGTATCCACAGTGACTATCGGGGGCTAAATATCACACACTCCCAGTGAGGTTTACAGACTGGACGGAAGCGATAGAGTAGCACATGAACTAGAACAAAAGAAATCGACGCTTGTTCTCCGATGTACGCAGTGACATTTAATTAAGTTGCCGCTAAAGCTGGATAAGTGGCCACCTTAAGGGCCCAGCGGAGCGCCACACTTAATGTCACCCATGTTTGTGCCCGTCACCGCGATTGCTGCTGGAGATGCTTCATCAAAGGGGAAGCGAGCAGACTGTATTGAGCGAGCAAAGACTGCAGCAGGGAAGCTGCTTCCATCGATTCAAAGTGTGTGTGAGTGTGTGAGTATAGAGTAAGCAGCAGGGAATGAAAAAACAAAAATGCTGACGGAGACAGACGGATGAAGAAGAGACGGAGAACACTGATGTGGTTGCTGCTGTTCTACTTATCGGCACTTCAGACATAATGAAATAACAAATACTAAATGGAAAACCTGCCTCGAAGCTTCCTGAGGTCCACACCCGTCAATTTGACTTAATAACAATGACGGGAAAGTAAGCGCTGCCACACGTGGAATAACTGCAGGCAAACATTACCGTTTTATGGCCGCTTAGCAGTGCGTTTTCCGATTGGACGAGGGCCATTTTTTATTTATTCAATTTTTACTTTTATAGAGAAAATTCTTAGAATGTAAAATAACAGGAAAAGTTGTGATTTAAAAAAAGAAAAGTACAATTAAAATCAAGAAGAGACTTCACATTTACGGTATACTCAATTTGTTCATCTTGAATCACTGGTTGTTTAGTGGATGTTACGTATTTTTGTTTAGAAGTAATATTTTAAAAATCAACTTTGCAGGCAGAGGAATCTGTCAGTATCCATGGCGACGGAAGATTCCTACATACGTGTTTATTTATTCCGTCATGCTGTTAAAGGCAGCGTTCTGCTCAAAGTGACTTCATGCACATCATGGCACATGACGCATTTTACTCAAGCTCGGCCTGGCTTTCTCGCTCTCGTCCCCTAGGAGGGCCGACCTATTCGTCAGACAGACCTCCGGACGGGCTGCAGAGAAACATGCTGGTGCTGTGGGTGAGTGTGTGTGTGTGTGTGTGTGGGTGTCAGGCCTCGACTGGCCAATCCACTGCCAAGACAGAAACCATTTGACCCACTTCCCCTGGTTTGAGCTCAGTGCCGCTCAGTGTGTGTGTGTGCGTGTGTGCGTGTGTGCTTGATTACTGCAGTGTTGTGTTACAGCTGCCCGCTCAAGTGAAACTGCTCCGCTTTCAAAAGGCAGCAACGAGGAGGGGAAATAAAAACAAATCAACTATAAGTACGGCCGCCTGGTGTTGGAGAGGGCCGGGCTACGATTGGATATAAATGACTGGGTGCTGACCACACACACACACGCACACACACACACACACGTATGCTGGCAACGAAGACTAATGTTACGGGTGCACGGTTACAATGAAAAACTTTCACTTGGGAGTTTGCAGCCATCCATCACTAGCAGAGGGAACCTTCCCTCACCAGCAGAAGGCCAATGTGTGCTGTAGAAAACGGGTCGAGCCAACAGGAGAGAGACCAGCTGAGAGGAGGGGAGAGGGGGGGGGGCGACGAGGACAGAGGTCCAGTGATGAACCCCGTTTCCACGGCGATATATCGGCAGGTGTGGAGAAGTCGATTGTGGATGTCATTTCACACGTTATTTAAAAAAAAAGACTAATTCACAAAGAACCATTGCAGTTAGCGGCCCTGTTGGCCCCCCCCCCCACCCCCCCTCTCTGGCAGAGGACTTCTGTTGGCTCCGGCACAACAGACGAACCACATCTTAAATCTCACTTTGACAGCGTGAGGACTGATGCTTTGTGGGGGATCGCGGCGTGAACGGCTGAGCACTTTGCGTCTGCCTAAGTAAACCGAGCAGCGGCCCTGTCATGGCGGATTACGCCCTCTCCGTCAGCGAGGGGGAATTAGAGGAGGTAAAGAAGGCGGCTGTGTAATGTGGCAGCTAAAGCTCCTCTGAGAAACATTAATTACCCTGAACTCGTCGCACGTGTGCATCACCAGATCGACACAAAAGACCTCACAGGGCGGATAACAAATGTGGGCTCGATGGAAACAAATAAGAAATAAATACGCGCTGAATGGCTGAGAGGGGATGAGCGTTTCATTCAATGACGCTCCCTCGTGTGTTGAGATTTATTTTTATGGGCTCGGGCATTTTTGAGCTTCTTTTGTTTGCAGAAAAGGAAAGCGTGGCACATGAAAATAAAGTAGAATATAAGTAAAAATCGGCCGCGGGTTTGAGGAAAGATTAGGAGGTTCTCTTCCTCTCCCTCTCTCCTCTCCTCTGTGCGTCGGTGATACAATTTGTGCGTCTATTGTTTCCATTTGAACAAGCGAAACCAAATCCCCTCACACGGCACGGCGGGGGGCCGCGCTTACGCTGTGCTGCTAAGTACCGTCTATTCATCGCTTTCTATAAATACCTGCTGGACAAACTGGCAGCAGTAACGCTGCGTCACAGCGGAGGCCGCCTTCTTCTTCTTCTTCTTCTTCCTCCTCCTCCTCTATTAAAGAACCGGATTCCTTGAAATCTCTATTCAGACGTCTCAGTTCCTACCAGCCGAGGAAAACCAAAGTATATCTTCAATTCAATCTCTCCATCCCTCCGGCCAGTGGCAGATATCTGATGAGACGTCCGCCTCGTCTAGACAATCCGCGCCCTGAATTTTGCAACAACATCTGCTTAGTTACATTGTGCAAATAGGAGGTTGTGTGTTTTTTTTATTACTTTTCATACTTGATCAGTTACTGCATGCAAAACGCTCCGCTTCGTCGGATAATATGAGTAGGAATCAGTTTGTTCTTCAACGTGCACTCCTCCGTTATACAACAAATGTACAGCATCATTTGCGAAGTGCCGTTGTGCTACACTTCTTTCCTAAAAGACGTCGTCTCGAGGTGCCCTCAGCGTGGCCCCGTAAGTAAGCGCTTCAATGAACAGAAGAGGATTCGATGGAGTCCCGAGTGTGCCTGCGAGCGGCGGAGGGGATGGAGGCCGACATGGACTGAAACGAGGACGAGCGTCGGACCTCTCCGCCGCCTTTAGCTTTTAGCAGTGTGGAAGACGCCAGTATCCTGAGTCACAGAGAGGCTGGAACGCGGAGGCCACCCCTTACCCTCCGTGCTGAGTCCGGGACTGGAGGTGAACTGGGCCACGTCCACGATCTTCACCGCGAACTGCTGGCCCGTCTCTCTGTTGATGCATCTCCTCACCTCGCTGAAGGGACCCCTGGGGACGGAGGGAGAGAAGAAGGCGTTTAGTGCACACGGTTAAAAGGACACAGCCAGCTACATCTCTGATCGTCTGGTGAGCGTAGAGAGAGGATGGAACTAAAAGAGACACGTTGCAGGCTATGAAACCATCCCGGTGAGCCATTAATCTAAAGATATGATGATTGTAGCACTTTTAATTTCATCAGTTATCTTGTCTCTCTGATGCAAGAGCACAAAGCAGCACAAAAGAGCCCAAATTACATAAAAGAAACAATCCTATTGCTGTTGAAGGTAGTTAAATGGTTTGGGAAGAGGCTTATGAGTTTTGTGTGCCCAAAGTCAAATTCTAAACACAAGGTGACTCCTTTTGTTAAGTTTTCGAATATCTTGTGACCGTCATTTAATAACTGGGTCTAATTGTAGAGCGACATTGTGTGAGAAGGAAAAAAAACAAACACCAAACAGGTAAAACCTGCTGGAAGCAGCGAACGAATAATCCAATCCATCAAGTTTCTACACCTGCCTATGGCTGAACCTATCCCAGCATGCACTGGGGCGAAGGCAAGGGAAAGTCCCTCTGCACAGGCTGTAATGTGAGGGATTCATGTGTGAGAGTGCCGTGTAGCTGCAGTTATTTGTGGAGGCTGATGAGGTTCAATGATCTGGATCACAATCATAAAGTGTATGTTTGCTCCCGACACAGACTTGTTCTGCATGAAATGCCAAAAGACACAAAGTCAAGACGCCCAGCTACAGACACAAGTCTGCCGCCCGTTACCTTGGTGACGCCGATTCTAACTCCAGCTCTGATGATCGCATAAATCAAGATGACCCAGATGAAAGTGTGACCGGAGGTAGAAAACCGCATGGATGATATGCATGTGTGTATTTACATGAGGTCTCTCTAATAATTCCCAGAAAAAGAGCTCAGCAACATTCAACTCATGATTTTAAACTGGTCTGTATGGTTATTTGATCCTTTCCATTTCATTCACCACTTCAGCCGGGATTCTCTCCTTTGCTTGTAACCAGGTTATAAAACAAAGATGAGCCAGAGGACACTGAAATCCTAAAGTCACGGTCACTCGTTTCTCCAGCCTTTAAATCAAAATGCATTTCTTTTTTTTTACTTTCCATCGTCCACTGGGGGGGGGGGGCACACACACACACACACACACACACACACATCACCTGCACTGATCCCACAGCAAATGCCACCCAGCAGCACAACCTCAGCTCTGATGAGAAAGCAGCTGTTTCACAACCGCACAAAACATCAACACTGTTTGAACACAAGCGGGGCTGCTCAAGCGTGTGTGCGTGTGTGTGTGTGCGTGTGTGTGAGGCAGTCTTTGTGCAATGACTGGTTGAACAGATGGTGATCAAGCTAAAGCTGCTTAGCGTCAGAAGGGTGAGGTAAGACGGCACGGTGCCCAAGCAGACAGGACACACACACACACACACACACACACAGTATAAACACGGCTCAAACTCAGAGATAAACAACATGGGAAGCGCTAATAAAACCAAAAGTTGTGAGGTTTCTCTGCTATATGCAGTCAAACTTTCTCACCCCCCCGTTTGGTGAGCAGGAAGATTCCACACTGCTCCCACATCACCATCCCATGATAGCCATTTATTTCACAGGCTGCTTCTGTGTGCACTTAACTAATAAACACACACGCACACACACACACGGTAAATTCCGCATTAAACCACTAGATCCATCTGTTTGCAGGGCTCCCCGGTGGGGGTGGGAAGGTGAAGTGGGGGGTGGGGGGGCCCGCGTTGCAATCACTGGGGTACTCGGGTGGCAAATCAAAAGGTGCTCCTTGAATAAACACGTTCCAAAGAGGTGCTGCATTAGTGGTTGTTAAATATTGCTGATTGTTGGTGTGTGTTTACTTGTGTGCACACAGTCTTCTGTTTGAGACGCTCGTAAATAAAAAGGTCACAAACAAAGTTGAGTCACATGACAAACGAATCAGATGAACCTGATTGACAGAGAAAGTATCTCTGTGTCTTTAATCTAGACTGAAGAGCAAAGCATCCTGTAAAGCGTTTACAACACGCATACATGCCATCAAATCAATTAAACAGATTTATTAAAGAGCCTATTAGCTGACTCGCTGCGCTGGATGCTAACGTGCAGATTGTAACTCTCTCTCTTGGCTCCCCGGGGAAATCTACCAACGGAAAGATAACACCAGCTTGCAAACAAACAATTCGTCAATTTTCAGGAAGTCGACACACACACAAAAAAAAAGAAAGTCTATTTGGAATCAAACTCCAGCGGGGACACGCGTCAGCCCAAACTTTAGTGCGAGCGGGTCCACCGGGTCAGAGAGCTCTCATTAGTGATGCAGTGGAGTTCTCCTCTGCTGCGTTATCTGCCTCCACGCCACCGTCTAGTCGCCTCGGCTCTCAACCCCCCCCTATCCTCCCCCCTATCCTCCCCCCGCTCCCACTCGCCGCGGCGCTGCAAATGTCAGGCCTCGCTCCAGGCAGCACTCTATACAGCGAGGAACAAGAGGCCCGGGAGGAAGCCGGGACAAAAAGAAGAGGGCCGAGGGGAGAGAGGCGGGCAAGTGATGGAGAAAAATACAGAGACTTGAATAAATACTGCAGCTCAAAAAAAAGACAAATGTAACAAGTTGGGGATAAGGTTAAAGACAAAAGGCCGGACAAACAGGACTCAAGACGGCTCATTTAGAAACTGAAACTAAATCCTTCAGACTAAATTAACTATTGATAATGAGAGCTTTAATGTTACAAATACTGTAAGGAGTTGTGTCTAGGTTACATCCGATACCAGTGTGTGTGTGTGTGTGTGTGTGTGTGTGTGTGTGTGTGACAGGCTTGTTCACGGCCGCCTGGGAAAGCCTTAAAAAAAAGGTGTAAGGGTCACAATCGATCCTGCTCACACATCACCAGCAGGAAAGATCAGCTTTAGAAATACGTGTGGAGGGGAGGTGAAGGGAGGCAGACGGGAGGGGGTTTGGGAGGGGGGGGGGGCATGATGGGAGGGAAGAAACGGCTTCGAAGCGCGGGGGCGGCTCAAGAGGCGGAACCGGGCGGCTTGGAAGAAATCAAGGGCTCACCGGGAGGAGCCATTCGGGCCCTGAATGGAGGCTCAGCTGCTCGCAGCGGCAGCCATTAAACCCTGAATAGATGTCAGCTGCAGGGCGGGCTGATGATTCCTGCACTTTAGCCACCCGCACTGAAATAACAGGAAGCGGGGGGGAGGCGGACGGGGGGGGGGGCAAACAGAAGAGGAGACACATGGCGGGGGAAGAGAGAGCGGAGGCAGAGGAGGGCCCCCCCCCCTTTTGTGCCTCTGCAAATGTTTCCAACCCAGACTCCACTGTAGAATGTCAGTTTCTATGGATTTATTAACTACACCATGAGGCACTTGGTGAATTATGGAGGAGGGGGGCTGATCAAGGTTGCTTTAAATTCGCTTCATTTGCTCATTATATCAAGTAGGTTATAAGTTGACCCCCCCCCCCCCTTTTCCCCCTGGGATTTTTGACTTATGCACTCATTATCGCCTCGTAATTACACTAAATGGGTTTCTGAAGGTCTCGACGTGTTGCGGAGTTTACAATCCATCGTCTGAGCCGTCTGTCGCTGCGATGTGTGAGGAGTAATATTCCACTGAACCTGGTGAGCACGTGGCGTTCTGAAGAAGGAAACCACTAATAATCTCCGCGCCCTCTGACACCTTTAGAAAAGGCGGATACCCTCGATTCCTATGGGAGCACCCCCCCCCCCCCCGCTCGCTCGCCAACCGGTGACCTTTGCGCTCTCCTCCTCGGCCGGCCTCCCAGTCAGCGAGGTCAATGGGGCTATACTCTGTGTGTGTGTGTGTGCGTGCAGGCGTCTCGGGGGAGTTTACGGCCTCGTCAAAATGACGGGTCGCCCTGCACCGCACGCCGTCCAACCGCGTGTGTGTTGGCGTAGTAAAACGGTGATTCGCGGGCCGAGCGCCTTTCCCAACCGCCCGGCGAATCAATCAGTCTCATTCCCTAAATGCCAGCGGCTTTTACGACAAACGCGGGGACGGGTGCAGCGCGCCGACCGTCACCGGGGGGGAGGCCTCACCTCGTCTAGCGCCGCCACTTCCCGCGAGATTACGGCGGCGTACGAGTAACGTGGACGTAATCATCGTTACGCCTCCTCGCTGTGTCGCACCGCTCTGTACGCTCGGGTAACCAAAGAAATACAAGTACGGTAAAAAGAACGGAGAGCGCGGCTCGGTGCATTTAGGGACATGGAAGCAGAGCAAACGGGATCGGGCGATCGAGGGAAAACCCACGAGTCGGCAGTTTGTGCAGTGAACAAATTACAGGCCGAGTCAACGGCGAGAGGAAAAATAAAACAAAGAGGCCCAAGGGAAAAAGATACAAAGGCAAACACGGCGGAGAAAGTGAGAGGATGGCAACGGCCTGACTGCCTTTAATAGGGTTTAATTATACATAACAGGGGAGACGCTGTCAAGGATGCAGCGCTATGCTGCTTGTATTAAGTGTACTCAGTATTATAAGGCTTCTCTCTGCTGCTATGAGGGTCAAAGGTCAAAGCCTGCCGATACACAGCAGAGTGCGCGCGCACACACACACACACACACACACACACACACACACACACACACACACACACACACACACACACACACACACACACACACACACACACACACACACACACACACACACGTTAGAGTTTCTCTAACGTGATCATCAGCACAACTGAAATAAAGTCATGACCTCGTGTCACCGTAATTGCTTAAGCCTTTTTTTCCGGGAGAGAGAATCAAAATTGAGCAAATGTTTGAGGTGCTTCAGTTCAGTAGTTAAAGCGCTTTCTGTCGTACTGAAAGCGATAAGCCTTCTTTAAAAGGAGCGTTCCCCTGTTTTCCTCTCAACCCATCACCTGATCCGTCTCACTTTGGCTGCCGTGTGACGGAAGGTGGGACGCCAGTGGTTTGAGTTTTGTTTTTTTGCTGCACTGGTG